CCTTTTTTGTTGGAGGTCCCCTTGCTACCTTCCCTCCTTCAACCCTAGCTTCCCCCCCCTTCAATCAAATTAACCGCACGGTGTTATGGATCTAACAACCACAGGTTGAGACCCCAAATTGCTAAAACTAATTACTAGATGGAAAAATTATGAGCATCGACATCAGAAAAAACCATTGGGATAACAAATAAGATCGAGAATAAAGGAAATCGCACGATTTGAATCTTGAATTTTAATCATAAAAAAACGAAAAATAAAAAGAGAATACGATTTGATATACAATTTGATAAGTCTGAAAAATTGAGGTAGGAGAAACACAATAGAGCGTCAATTCTGTTGTCCAAACGGACTTTCGACTCAGACTTCCAGAACCTAAAATCCAAGAAATCGATCAGATCGTAATCAGGAGATGTCAATCAGAACTTCAGAAGAACCTCTTCATGATAATATCTAGGCTTATGGCTTAGAAAAACAAAACGATAACAGCATTTTGATAACCATCAAAATCAGTGACATAGGAAAAGCAGAAAGACAATATAACCATCGTGACACAACCAAATCCGAAATCAGGGTCTAGACTACAAGATTAGACGAGTAATAGGTTTTAAACCAAACAAGATAGCTGAGAATCATCTCGTCAAGACTCTAATCAAAAGTATGACAGTTATGACAGAGCCCCACACGAAATGAAGAGGAAGAACACCACACACCTTCGACGTCCCTAAAAGCATCCCCCCTCTCTTCAAACCTCACCTCCTCCTTGATCGACTTTCCAACAACTCGGCCACCTATGGTTGTCGCATATTCAACCACCCAAAAAAAAAAACAATGAAGATAATCAGGACCGCAGCCCGTAGTATCCTAAAATTGCGTCACGAGCCAGAAACCGCTGAGCCTGCCAGCCGCCCCTCGCAGGTAGCCTGAAGAGATGAGGGGGTGTCTTTATCGCCAACGTCGCCCAACCCCCCCACCCTCTTGTGAACCTCTTCCCCTGATCTACTCCTCCCCTCCAATAAGACCGTGTTGAACTTCATCCATGTATACCACCGAGCCTCAAACCAGAAAAGCCAGCAGTAGAGTCTGCAGCAACACCTGGATACCATCAGCCTACACCCATCGCTTCTCCTTGCACACCCTACCCCCATCCTCTTTTCTTACCCCTCTCCGGCTCGCTGCTACTCCCCGTCACTCACCGTTGCCTTGCACCGCGCCTCTCACCTTGCCGCTGAACCCTATCCCGATCGTCACCATGCGTTGTATCCTCCGCCTCCGCACCTCTCCACCCTCTTCCCTTACCCCTCTCTCGCAGCTATTCCCCATCTCTCATCGATGCCATGTATCGCGCCTCCCCACTCACAGCCGTTCCCGCCATTACCATTCGTATCCTCTACCTCCTCACTTCTCCGCGCGTTGCTGCATCTTCGTCGCTCCACGCCTGCATCTTCGTTGCTCCGCGCCTGCCCGCTTCTTTGTGGCCCGACGACGAGACCAGGCGGGGCGCAGCGCTCCCAGTAGCGCTGCGCCCCCCAACAAACGCATCTCCTCTACTCCGCGTTCTGAGATCTTCTACTCTGCTCCGTTTTCCTTTAAGTGTTCCAGACCGTCGCCTGGAGAGTTAGGGCCTTTGACCATATTGCATAATATTATCCCATTTTTGTTGTGTACTCAGTGATGGTCTTCTGTTTCACCTGACAACTGGTACGGCAAGGTCAAGCCTATCCTTTTTTTTTTTTTTTTTTTTTTTTTTTTTTTTTT